ATATATCACGGCAGTCTCGTGGAATTCTACCTAGAAACATTTCAGGCAATTTGTCATGATAAAAATTTCATGTGATAAATTAAGGGACATGAATTTGGTGTCAACATTTTACTATGAGAGGGTTCGTACCTAGTTCAAGCTATACGTCTTTTGTGCTACTGAAATTGGATACACTTGCGTGAATAGGCTCGCTGTATATTAGTGCTTTATTTATTTTGAAATGATTATATTGCTTTAAAGGAGCTAAATCGGTAATATTTGGGACCTACAAATTGACACAAATGGGTTGCAACGTATATAATAATGTAATATGAATGTAAATAAACTGATTTACATTTAATCGTTTCCGTTATTACTCAGTCAAAGCAGTTATGTTCTGCGAAATACGCCAGAAGTCTCAATCCAATGGCAATCTCTAGCGTCTGGTTATTCCAGTCTACACCGATAGTATTTATTGCGCATGTTCTCCAGATAAGAATATGGGGTCACCGTTTGACATGACTTGTGGAATATGTTTAACCTCGTTCTTCGAGTCGCTTGTTACAAATTGCGCTGAAACGCATTATGGTACACGATTGGTGTACCAATCGTAAACTGTTTATTTTGTCTTAAATATTGGATATCTTTTTCCGGTAAGAGCACAACACCAATGTTGATTAAAATTGACAAATAACTCGTGTTTTCACTTTCGAAGGTTTTGGGTGATATTGAGTTAGAGACTTGGCTACTTTAAACAATATTTTTGCAATGTTCACTAATCATATAATTTGATTACAGTATATAGGATTCGAAAATAAGCTTAAAAATGCTTAAAAATATCGCTTCCTGAATGAAAAGTGATAATGATGAAGCGGATTATGACAAATGCTAAGAATATATACTAGGGAGTACGTGTAAGTAAGAAAGTCAATAACAGAAAAAAACAAATGAAGGGGCGGAGTTGTCATTACTGTTGGGGAAGCAGGCAGTATATATTTTATCATAGTTTAAGAACTACGCAAGGTGATACATTTTCAATTCCAATGAGGAGTATCTAATGTTTGGGATCGCGGATTGTTATAGTTTTCCACAGATTTACCACATTTCACATTAGTATATATTGTACATCATGAATTTGTAATGGCTTGGGTTAATTTTACAATGCTCCCGTTTGCATTGAATTAATTCAAAAGATCTGACTCCTATGTAAAATATATATTCAGGTGTTGAATATGTTAATTTCAATTTTGATTTAAAATCTGATATTTTAGCCAAGATAATAAAATAAAGTGATATTTTAGCCAAGATAATAAAATAAAGTGATATTTTAGCTAAGATAATAATATGTACTAATGTTTTATAAACTTTGTTCATAAATCTCTTTTTTGTTAAACAGTCATTACATCTGTCGGTCTTCCAATACCATGACTACCTACAGACATTTGTCAAATACAGATATAATAAACATTCCATTTTTGTTATAAAAATTTAAATAAAAGATTCGAATCTCTTATTATTACGATAACATTTCAAAAGTGCACTATAATTTCAGACAAAATTAGACAATTCATTGAAACTATTATCAATGGAGATGATCTAAAGCTGTCTAATTACATGGCAGGATTTGTTAACGAGATAAAATGTTATATTTGCATCCCCTGAGAAAACAATATTTGTAGTCTATAAAGGAAACTAGCGTCTAAAATTACAGACTGTTACGAGTGGAAGTAAATCGCAGATCTTCAATTTTCGTTACGAGTAATCTGAAGATAATAATGTTTGTTTAAAATCCCAATGTGGATAAAATTTTGTATGAATATAAAACTGGTTAGTTCGGAAAATAAATGAGATATGAAAGTAATCATGATGAATTGATGAACATTTGGAGACAATTTCTGAACTCAATAGAGGGAAAAAATTTCTAAACTGCATTGGGTACACGAATATTATATGCTTATTGTGTAGCATTGTGTATATAGAGGTAATCATGCTTGAGTATGGTTTTTAGTATGTGGCTTCACGAATCAATTTACTACTAATAACGATTATTTTCTCACTTGTTATGATGATTTAATGTAACTAAATAACAGCCATGTGGTGCTGGAGATAAGAATAATCTGATGATGGAAAATTAGTGTAAACCTAAATCAATCATTGGTAGATATCTTTTGAAGAGGCCTATTACACGCATGTAAAAGTTTACAACACCGGGCCAAATCAAAAGACCTTTAAAGGGGAAGACCAACGATTTTCAATAAAGTTTCCATAAATAATAAATATATATTTAGAAATAATCCCTCCTATAACATATGCAAAAAATAATTTGTAAGCGAGAAATTAATTTTTATTGATACCGGAAGTGACGTAGTTGGTTCGACACGCTCACTGGTCACTATAGTAAACATACAAATTTGGAGTAAGTTTAGCGCTGTATTTTGTGATCGTTTCGCAGTTTGGCAGAAAATCTGATGAAAGGTAATCTTTATTAGGATATTAAGAACAAGAACTTACGGTGTTTTGAAAGTATAATATACAACGCGTTTGTGTAAATTAAGTTTCTAAACCGGACACTGTGACACAATTTAAGGTTGCCAGCTGGATCGGTCGAATAGGTCGCTAGCCGAATAGGTCGCCAATTTGTGTTCGGTTAATATCTGTCACGTGCCAGCTATCACGTGATGTAAAGAATTAGCCATGTGGCTCAATTTGTGTCACAGTGTCCAGTTTAGAAACTTAATTTACACAAACGCGTTGTATATTATACATTCAAAACACCGTAAGTTCTTGTTCTTAATATCCTAATAAAGATTACTTTTCATCAGATTTTCTGCCAAACGGCGAAACGATCACAAAATGCAGCGCTAAACTTGCTCCAAACTTGTATGTTTACTATAGTGACCAGTGAGCGTGTCGAACCAACTACGTCACTTCCGGTATTAATAAAAATTAATTTCTCGCTTGCAAATTATTTTTTGCATATGTTATAGGAGGGATTATTTCTAAATATACATTTATTATTTATGGAAACCTTATTGAAAATCGTTGGTCTTCCCCTTTAAGTTATAATTAAATACAATATGTGTCTTACTATATTTGATCTACATTGGACGAGATAATTGCCCACTGACAAAATTGAAATATATTGGAACATTTTGCTTCCGACAATAAAATATAATAGATATTAGGATGTTACAAAATAGCAGTTTGAACATAATACCCATTCCAAGACGCGCTTGTATAATTGTTTAATTTTCTCAAATGGAATGCCAATTCCTCGGCTTTAGCAAAAATAAAATGATGAAAGTTCCCAGTCTGAATACGAGAATAAACGTGATTTACGCCTCCATTTCAGTGCAAGCTTTTATAAGACTATGAATATTTGATATCTTTCACAATATACGATCGCCTACTGATGGATTTTTGACACCTTTTACAATTTCGGCCACCCATTCTTCCTCTTTACAAATCCCATAGGAATTCTGTTTACCAGGTGTGAGGTTAGAATCTAACCAAGCGTTAAGCTGACTAAACCTTCCTGAAAGCAGGTTTATGGTATTGTCGTTAGTTGTGACTTAACACAGCAATATCACTTAGCAACAAAGTAGTTGTAACACTTGAAATGTGTCAAAAATACGACCACATTTACAATTAGGTATCTAAATGGAAACCGGGTGTTTATTTGAGACGAAATTTTGACAAGAACACGTTTAGATCGATATAAATAAAATTAGATACATTTTCAAAGAAAGCAACATTCTGCAACTTTATGAAACATAATTTTGCTTTTATTGAATTGTTGTACAAACTTAAAAAGAGCTTTCCGTGTCAATGAAAGGAGTTATATTCTAGACCATCACATTATTTCACATCGATGACGCTGGGGAGTATGACTGAAAGTAAAATCTGTTCGTCTTAAAAGGCAAAGTACTGTTCACGGAGGATATATTCAAGATCTGGAAATGCTAAGACACTGTATTCGTCCATATCTTCATTATTACGAACACTTCGAGATGTTATACCCCCAGATACGATGACGTTTCTGTTCTAGCAAAAAATTTCAAAATTGTCATGGTATTTATGTAGATAATCCATGCGACGGCCAATATTTATCCATTTTCAATATTCTCTCAGAGGATGAAATCCTTAAGTTCATTAAAGATACATTAGTTAAGAGCTAAATACGCCTATTGCAAGAGCTTCTATAGGTTTTAAATGTTATAGAAATGATTAATTAGACCTTTATTTACATAAAAAGCACATAATCAACGCTGTAGACCCTCGGATGGCTTGGGTGCAGCTTGGATTTAAACAGTCGTCCATTTAATAAGTAAATCTTTAAATGAATGACCAAGCTAACATTTACCGTTAATCACTAACGTCACTCCCGATGAATGGACTGTACCGTAGGCATTGAGAATGTTATTTGATAATCGAGTTATCGTCTGTCAATCAAACGATCAGCAATTCTCGGAGACGGTGCGGAGACAATTGATGCCTATATTTCTAATCACATTGATACTGTTTACATTGTCGATTCAAATATACATTGGGTTGTCCGCCATAGTGTATTGATCACAGATTCCAAACATAAAAAAGCAGCAAACTAAACAGACATACAGAGGCTGTGTCTTTACATCCAATAACAGACAAACATTTGTCTTCACACGTACATATTATTAGGAAGATTCGCCTTAATATCTCATTGTTGAGTTAAACCTATTCTTTTTTTCTGCATCGTCAACGCCCATTCAAACATACAACACCAAAGTAAAGTCTGCGAAGCGCATGTGTTAACTGAACCAACAGTACAACTTTGTGAATTAACAGAACAGTGTCGTTAATATACAAGTTATGATAGGTCTTTTGATTAATAATACAATTTATATTTCTGTTATAATACGGATAATGTCCTTCAAATAACAAAAATAGGGATAAAAAAACAGATATTTTTTAATAGTAAATGAGGTAAATTAAAAATTAGTGTCATAACTAATATTATTTTTCTTTTTTCAGTGTGCTCCCTATTATCGAATGGTGCTATAGCCATAATTGGGATTTCGTCTAGAAATATGTTACCCATCATTAGATCTCATGCTGAAAATATTCGAGTACCATTTATATCAATCAACAATCCAGCCATCTCGTTTGATGAAAGGGACTCCAAGTTTGAATATTATATAAAACCGTCTACTGCTAGAGCTGTGGTGGATTTAGTAGAATTCTATGAGTGGGATAAGGTCTATTATTTTTATGATACTGGTGAATGTAAGTAAATGTAATCATTCTTTTCTTTTCAAACGTTTGAGTCCATTTCTTTGTACCCCGTACCTGATAGACAGTAATAACGATCTGCTACACAGCTTCAGAGTGATATATCTAGGAATTTCACTCAGCCGTTACAGTTTATTAGGTAGCAATATTCACTTTTTAATCTGTGTTGTAAATTGAATTTCAGAACAAGCTAACAAGTTAGTAAATCATACTTGAGTATGATATTACGAACGTTAACGTACTTTGTATGATTAACACACGGGTTCATATTTCCACTCTTTTCGACGATTGCAATTGTGTACACATGTGGTAAACTAAAAAGATTCAATGTTTTAACGCAACATTTTACACCACTACCTATAATTCCTTGAAATGAACTGTTCAAGAATACATTTATGCGTGTATGTAAATTGTAAGATCTGAAATATCTAGGTAACTAGGACTATAAAGCCATTTAATTTAATGTCACTGATCTACATTAAAGGGATTTTGGATCCCTTACAAACTACAATATAGCGAAAGGTTCTCTAAAAGGAATATCAATCGAAAAAAGTAGTTCAATTATGTTCAGTATTTACAAAGATGGGATGAATTGGAAAATTATGGGTATTCGCAATAAAATGCACATGATAAATAGGATATGGTTAGACCCAACCAGCGCCACCTATAATGTTTGCTGAAATCTTTGATCTGTTTTTAATTCGATTAAATAAAAGTGGAGAAATCATCTATCATTGATATTTGGCGTGAATTACGCAGTGCAAAATAATATATTGTCCCAAAATGCAAATGGAAATCAGCGACTTAAAAAATTGATTATTATACTTTTCTTTGCAGCAGCAGACATTGAGTTAGATTTCAATTGCTATCTTTAGTGTAACTACCCTAGCAACTATATAAGTTGTAATTTTATTACATTAGAGGTTAGAACGCCAACAATATCATTGCCACATTAACGGTTTTCAACATTCCTACTAATAATCAAATAAATATTATCATGTATAAAATCAAATCTAATATTATTTGTGCTTCTCATGTCTCATGTTTCCGATCATCCATAACAAGGTAAATTTGGACGGAATGTTGATTCTGATCAACAATTGTACGTATGGCTTTACCACAAAGGACTCTTAATAGGGTTTTCGGGAAAAAAACATTTTCAGATAATGTGTAACTTAATAAACCCCTGTATGAGTATAGTGATAGTGTTTGATCAGATATGTTAGCTATTTTACATTCTGAAAAGTATTCAATCTTCCTGAACTGCCTCGGGAAAACACTGAACCAGATGAGAAAGACAAAAACTGAAATTTAAGTAGAGGAATTCGTGCGATTCCCTCGAGTTAAAAAATAGAGGCGGAACAACTATGGCTGGTGCATGTGAATAGGAAATTCTTCAATTCAGCTCATTTCATTTCATGCTCAAGTTGTTCACCGAGCTGACAAAACATTTGGTGTAGCCTCCGCCAGCCTACATGGCATGTCTAAATAAACATGACGCTGGATCTGAGACTGCATTAGTCTGTTCAATTTCTGGTGTGGAGCCTGATCCAAATCGCCACGACTCTGCACTGGTGAATCCATTACAGATCTTACGCCCAGGAATGGTAATGTAGCAAGGGCCGTCTAAAGAATAAAATATACAACGGCACGTACACTGTGTTGCCTAGCGTTGTCGTCCATAAAGATTCGTCTTTTGAGAAGAGCATGATTGGCAAAGAGGGGCACTACAATCCTGTCCAGGATCTCTTTTTAGTACCTCAAACTGTTACCAGTGGAAGCTTGCAGTCATATAACAGGCAGCTGCGTATGATGATTACGCCGCCGCCGAATGGAACCGGTTTAACACTAAATGTCAGTATTATAAATATAAACTTTATTTACATCGGGAACAAGAATATAAAACAGGAACAGAAAAGAAGAACATAACCACATAATCACACAAACTCATAAACGGTGCATTAATAAAAGCTAGGCCATAGGTCCACTCTCTATGTACACTGCAGGAGAAAAACTGGGTCTCATATAAGGAACTGTGTCTGTCTTATATTAAGTTGCATGTCACCGTTAAATATGGAATCTTATATACCACATGTTATTGCATAACTGACCCGTATCTATCCCGTTTAGGCCATTGAGGCTATACGTATGGGAAAACATGCAGAAGATATAACGATATACATTGTTATCAAGTCTGTACTTAAACACAACCAATATCTATAGTGGTCAGTAAGTATATCCATATAATAATGTTTATATTATCAATAATTTGTCCGATTCAGTGCATTACTATATGATATAGAATGTTTTTAAAAAAATAGGATTTTGCCATATTGTTTTTTATACTTGAGATAAATGATAATGAATGATCTGAAACATTTCTCCAATCTTAAGTAAGACATTTTCCAGAACTCTTCAATATTAACAAAGGTTTATCTCTCTAATTTTTTAACAAGACACAAATAGAACATCACATTCGCTCCTAATTTGATAATAATAATAATAATATGTCCATTTATATAGCGCCAAATCCACACAGCGTGCTCATAGCGCATATGCAAACTATATACAAACGTTTATTGGCTCTTGAGGGGGGATTTTTTGTCTGTGTTTGTAGTGAATTTTGAAAAGATGACTTTTTAATCGAGATTTGAAGTTTGACTAAAAGTCACACCACGGAGTTCAACTGGGAGTGAATTCTATGTTTCAGTTGCGGCAACACCAAACGCTCTTTGTCCAAAAGTTGCAAGTTTCCACTTTGGTATCACTAGCTGATTAAGATTGTTTGAACACAACTGTCTTTTAGAAATATGTACTGTTAAAATTAATTCACAGGGGTAAACAGGAGCCTCCCCATTGATATACTGATATGTTAAGCAGATGACTTTAAAGTCTATCCAGGCACTGACTGGTAACCGATGAAAGGTTTGGAAAACTGGTGTTATGTGACCGTTCTTGCTGTGTGAGACTTTGGATTCGCTGAAGGTTTAGTTGACTTTGGGTGACGCTGGTGAGAAGATTATTAGATAGTCCACATGTAGTCGGGATAGAATCGATGATCGCGCTGAAGCTGAAGCTGTATCTCGTGAGAGAACATGGCGGATGGCACTGATGTTTTTCGGCATTTTCTACACAGATCATCAACTTGTTTTGTAAAGGTCAGGGACCGGTTGTTCAATGCTCGTTGACTTTTAACGACCCGTTAACATGGAGAAAGTCTGTTGCTGGAAGTAACATGTCGTTAACGGAGGTGTTGGGCCCGGTTATCTGATTAACGATGGCATAAGACGGCTGTCAGTCGAAGTATACCCTTAGCAAAATGTCATAGATTACCAGTGCAATTTTCTATAGAACATCCTTGAGGGTTGGGCGCTGGGAGACTATTCTATTTTTATAGGATGAAATTCTATAGTATTTTACAGAATTTTGGGGACCGGTAGGAAATAATATCCCCAAATATTTTACAGTTTCTGTAGTGCTAATCCCATAATTTGTCCTACAGATGTATCCTAAGACTGCACAGTTGTTCCACTTTCTTCAGTTTCTTATTAATACTAACTTCTATGAAGTTTTTATACATGTACATTGTATTCAGCCAATGACGAAACCGCCTTCTCTTGGATTAATTTTAATCAGTCCGTTAGGTAACGGATAATGAATTTGACTTTCCAGCAACAGAAATTTAACTGTCTGTTAACAAACGACACATTAGCAAGGTAAAGATACGTTAGAGTTTAACAGATCGTTAAAATAACTCGGTTTTGAGCAACCGGCCCCAGGTCACTACCCAATAGTACACCTAAATGTTTTACCACTGCTGTTGGCGGAAATTCAATATCTCCCGTGTCCAACTGTAATTGTGAGAGGTTCGATAATCGAGTTTAGGATAACTTAGTTTCAAGCGATTTAAATCCATCCAGGTTTTAATTTTTCCGATATCCGTAGTCTGTGTGTGTTTGTGTGTCACCGGCAGGCCGCAAGTATTAACGGATCGTCTTGATAACCCGTTCCTTATACACTACAGATGATTGCTTTTGTTTTTGGTGCATTTCCTATTCTCAATGGCAGAGCCGCGCCCAAGTTTTGTGTGTATCGCCTACAGGGTGCAATGCTAAATGGGTCGTCTTGGAACATTTATTCCTTATCTACCCTAAGGACTGCAACTATTGATTTTGGTGCATGCAACCCCCCCACCCCCCCACCCCCCACCCCCAGGGTTGCCTCGCCCAATTTCTTTGATAATTGTCTGAAAATTCTTTACAGGTTTGCAAGTATTAACAGATTTTGTTCAAATTCGGCATGAAAAATCATTGCAATAACAGGATTGTACCGCTATATGCCGCAATTCTTAATGGAGCATCTTTATTCCTTATAGCCTAAGAAGGGCAACTAATGATTTTGATGCATGGCCACGCCCAATTTTATGTGTTGAATAGATCATGTTGTAACTTGGCATACTTATTCCTTATGCCCTAAGGACGACAACTATTGTTTTTGGCGCATGTCCCTACCCTCTGTTGCGGTGTCACGCCCACATTTTTTGTTAATATTTTATCTGTTAATAATCTAAAGGTTGCAATTATTAACAGATTTTCCTTAAATTCGGCATGAGCAATCTTTTCAATAACAAAGTTGTACCTATTTTATTGTCCATGTCCTACCCCAGGGACGGAGACACACCCATTTTTGTGTTTATTGTCTACAGGCCGCATTTCTTAATGGATCATCTTGGAACTTGGCATATTTATTCCTTATATCCTAAGGACGGAAATTAATGATTTTTATGCTTGGCTCGACCCCCAGAGGCAGAGTCACGCCCAATTTATGTGTTTATCGCCTACAGGCCGCAGTTTTGAATAGATCATTTCGTAACTTGGCATATTTATTCCTTATACCGTAAAGACGGCAACTATTAATTCCGATGTATCTCTCGATCCCCAGGGGCGGAGACACCCCCTTTTCATATCAGTCAAATGAAGAATGTGGACGTATTA